ACTTGAGAAGAAATGTAATCTGCTGTTTTTGGATGGAATGTCCTATAAATATGAATGAAATCTGTCTGGTCTTTTGTGTCATTTAAAGCTTGTGTTTCCTTATTAATTTTCTGTCTGGATCATCTGTCCATTGGTGTAAGTGCGGTGTTAAAGTCCCCCACTATTATTGTGTTAGTGTCAATTTCCTCTTTTATAGCTGTTAGCAGTTGCCTTGTGTATTGAGGTGTTCCTATGTTGGGTGCATATATATTTATAATTATTATATCTTCTTCTTGGATTGATCCCTTGATCATGATGTACTGTCCTTCCTTGTCTCTAGTAACAATCTTTATTTTGAAGTCTGTTTTATCTGATATGAGTATTACTACTCCAGCTTTCTTTTGATTTCCATTTGCATGGAATATCTTTTTCCATCCCCTCACCGTCAGTCTGTACGTGTCCCTAGGTGTGAAATGGGTCTCTTGTAGGCAGCATATATGGGTATTGTTTTTGTAACCATTCAGTGAGCCTGTGTCTTTTGGTTGGAGCATTTAATCCATTCACGTTTAAGGTGATTATCGATATGTATGTTCCCATAACCATTTTCTTAATTGTTGTGGGTTTGTTTTTATAGGTCCTTTTCTCCTCTTGTGTTTCCCACTTAGAGAAGTTCCTTTAGCATTTGCTGTTGAGCTGGTTCGGTGGCGCTGAATTCTCTTAGCTTTTGCTGGTCTGTAAATCTTTTGATTTCTCTGTTGAATCTGAATGAGATACTTGCTGGGTAGAGTAATGTTGGTTGTAGGTTGTTCCCTTACATCACTTTAATTATATCGTGCCACTCCCTTCTGGCTTGTAGAGTTTCTGCTGAGAAATCAGCTGTTAACCTTATGGGAGTTCCCTTGTATGTTATTTGTCGTTTTTCCCTTGCTGCTTTGAATAATTTTTCTTTGTCTTTAAGGTTTGTCAATTTGATTACTCTGTGTCTTGGCATGTTTCTCCTTGGGTTTGTCCTGCCTGGGACTCTCTGTGCTTCCTGGACTTGGATGGCTATTTCCTTTCCCATGTTAGGCAAGTTTTTGACTATAATCTCTTCAAGTGTTTTCTCGGGTCCTTTCTCTCTTCTCCTTCTGAAAGCCCTACAATGCGAATGTTGTTGTGTTTAATGTTGTCCCACAGGTCTCTTAGGCTGTTTTCAATTCTTTTCATTCTTTGTTCTTTATTCTGTTCCACAGCAGTGAATCCCACCATTCCGTCCTCCAGGTCACTTATCCGTTCTTCTGCCTCAGTTATTCTGCTATTGAGTCCTTCTAGTGTATTTTCCATTTCAGCTATTGTATTGTTCATCTCTGTTTGTTCCTTAATTCTTCTAGGTCTTTGCTAAACAATTCTTGCATCTTTTCGATCTTTGCCTTCATTCTTTTTTCGAGGTCCTGGATCATCTTCACTATCGTTCTGCAGTCTTTTTCTGGAAGGTTGGCTGTCTCCACTTCATTTAGTTGTTTTTCTGGGGTTTTATCTTGTTGTTTCATCTGGTACAAAGTCCTTTGCCTTTCCGTTTTTCTATCTTTCTGTGAATGTGGTTTTCCTTCCACAGGCTACAGAACTGTGGTTCTTCTTGTTTCTGCTGTCTGCCCTCTGGTGGATGAGTCTATCTAAGAGGCTTGTGCAAGCTTCCTGATGGGAGGGAATGATGGTGGGTAGAGCAGGGTGTTGCTCTGGTGGTGAGAGCTCAGTAAAACTTTAATCCGTTTGTCTGCTGATGGGCGGGGCTGGGTTCCCTCCGTGTTGGTTGTTTGGCCTGAGGCGAGCCAACACTGGAGCCTACTTGCTCTTTGGTGGGGCTAATGCTTGACTCTGGGAGGGCTCAGGCCAAGGAGCACTTCCCAGAACTTCTGCTGCCAGTGTCCTTGTCCTCACAGTGAGACACATCCACCCGCCGCCTCTGCAGGAGACCCTCCAACACTGGCCAGTAGGTCTGGTTCAGTCTCCTGTGGGGTCACTGCTCCTTCCCCTGGGTCCTGATGCGCACACTACTTTGTGTGTGCCCTCCGAGAGGGGAGTCTCTGTTTCCCCCAGTCCTGGCGGAGTCCTGCAATCAAATCCTGCTAGCCTTCAGCATCTGGTTCTCTAGGAATTCCTCCTCCCATTGCTGGACCCCCAGGTCGGGAAACGTGATGTGGGGCTCAGAACCTTCACTCCAGTGGGTGGACTTCTGTGGTGTAAGTGTTCTCCAGTTTGTGAGTCACCCACCCAGCAGTTACGGGATTTGATTGTATTGTGATTGCGCCCCTCCTCCTGTCCCATTGCGGCTCCTCCTTGGTCTTTGGATGTGGGGTATCTTTTTTGGTGAGTTCCAGTGTCTTCCTGTCCTTGATTGTTCAGCAGTGATTAGTTGTGATTCCGGTGCTCTCACGACAGGGAGTGAGCTCACGTCCTTCTACTCCGCCATCTTGAACCAATCTCATGGATTTTTTTCTTAAAATATAAGTGTTTCAATCCATTACAGTTATTTTCTTTTTGATGCTTCCAGAGTTTATTCCTGTGTGCTTTTGACACAACCCTATCGTTTTTAATAGTTTGTTTTCTTTCTGTCTCATTAAGAAATCCTGGCCTCATCCCTGCTTCTGACCTTAATTTGCCATTTCTTGAAGAAGTTTTGGTTTCTTTTAGTGGGAAATAGTTTTTTTTTTACATCTTTATCGGGGTATAATTGCTTTACAATGGTGTGTTAGTTTCTGCTTTATAACAAAGTGAATCGG